ACACCGTGAGGGGGTTGGTATTGTTGAGGGGAAGCGCTGAGATGGATCTTTTACAGCTGGATGGATCCCCGAGCTCATCTTTAAGCTTTTGACCCCAAATATCCCCTCAAGTCTTGTTAAGGTCAACCCATAGTTTGTAAGTCAATGTTGGCCATGAGGGTTGGCCCCCTATAAAGGTCAAAACCCAACTCCCTATGATCAAATCCTACTGATAGCAACACTACAGCAGGGCAGAACTGCCCCCGTGGCTTCTGAGATGGTCCCTCTTTAGGGGACTAGAAAGCCGCCTCTTTCTCCCATGGAGCTGCTGACGGTTTCAAACTGCTGACTTCATGATTAGCTGTCCACCGCATAGCCGCTCTGGTACCAGGGCTCCTTGTACACTTCTAAGAACCGTCTATCTAGCATCCAACTGACCATCCGAACTCGAAAGATCAGCCAGGAAACTCACAGGGCAGTGTTTGCTAACAGAAGGAGCTGAGAAGAGTGGCATTTGAAGGATGGAAACCCTGCCACTGCGTGGTGGTGCGTGTAGAGATTGCCGGATTGGTGCATTTCTGCCGAATGTATGCTCTACAACAACAGTGATAAAAATATTCTTTTCAAAAGGAAGAATTATGCAGCCAGTGTCCGCACCGGACCTGTGGCCTTTCCAGGGCCTGCATGAAGGATCCATGAAGCTGTGGTGGGTTATGAGCTATTCGAAAGCCTCAGCTGCTCCCCAGGACAAAGAAGAGGCTTTGTGCCAAGGGTTTACAGCCTTGGAAACCCCCCGGGACAGTTCTGCGCTGCCCATAGGGGTCGCTATGAGTCAGAATCAACATGGTGGCAGTGGGTTTGGGTTTGGGTTTAGCACTAAGCTTATTCCAATGATAGGGCTAGAGGTGGCACCGCTGAAAGCTGCCCATTGACTAGGACAAGGTGCAGGGAGGTGGGAGGGCTCAGATGCCATCCACCTGGGGGGCGCGGCTGTTTGTTCTGCAGTGCCTGTGCTGCAGCAGCAGCTGCAGCCAAGTCGATTGCTGTCATGTCACCTCTGACTCACGGCAAACATGTGCGCCCCAGTTAAGACTGTGCTCCAGGGGCTTTCGTGGGCTGATTTTCCAGAAGTAGGCTCAGGCCTTGCTTCTGCGGGGCCTCTGGGCAGATTTAAGCTGCGTGAGTTTGCCTAGGACTGGGACGTCCACACTCACGTTGCTCTTGCGATCAGCAACTGCCCATCAGCCGAGGAGATTCATGGCGGCCCCGTGCACAATGGAGCCGATGCTGCTGGGCCCTGATGCAGCACCCACGGCCCTAAACATTATGTGGCTGAGAAGGCTTGAGGTGTCTCTTCTTCCACAGGCTCCCCCAGTCAGACACCGAGATGGAAGCCCCTCATCCCCTCAGACACCCCAGCTAGGACCTCGGTTTTCCATGGACCAACCCAGCTGCCTGGCTTCAGGAGAAAGAGAGCTCGAAAATGGAGGCTAGCCTTTGCCGTGGAACCCAGGTGAGTATCCACATCACTGGTAGGAAGAGGGGAAGCTGGGGCCGTGGAGGCCAGATTATGATGAAGCGTGGTTGGACTTTTCTCTCCTCCTCCTTCACGGATTTAGTGAGCTATCATTCACATACTGTAGGATTGACTCCTTTTAAGTGTGCAATGGCTTTTAGCATACTCGCAGACACACACGGCCATCACCGCCATCAATTTTAGGATACTTTGAAACCCATGCCCATTAGTAATCTCTCGTGTTAGGGGAAAAGACTCCAGATTCAGAAATGAGGCTTCGTGCTCATTTGTTTTCTAGACACCCTTTCATTAAGCCTTAAATAGGACAAAGGCAGTCATCTGGAGAGGGAGACCATCCGCTTGTTCCTGATGGCCATTGTCTACCATGGGGAACCCAGACAATCACTGCAAGATCATGGTTGGTGGTAGGTCAGTTCATCACTATTGTAGGTGGGTCTGCAGAAGGGGCGGTGGAGAGGAAGGGCTGTGATCGGGCTATGTACAGAACTGAAGATTTTAAAAGGTTGCAGGATTGCCTGCTTCAGTGAACCATTAAGGACACGAGCAGGTAAATTCTTTGTGCAAGAAAGGTATGCCCAGGCAAATTCCCTAGGTCTTGGTGTGAGCACTCTTCTGCCTGAGAGCAAGCCGCCTCTCCCTGGGCTTGCCAAGGAAGCCAGAATTGACGGGAGGGCCATGGGTTTTCACCCACATTCATCCTGAGGGCAAGCTGCCCCTCCCTATTCAGGAACCCTGGTGGCATAGGGGGGTGAGTATTGGACTGCTAGCCCGAAGGTAGGCCCATGAGTCTCCACAGGAGAAAGAAGAGGCTATCTACTCCTGTAAAGATTTACAGCCTCAGAAACCCTACACAGGCTCCCTATGTTTGGGATCCAATCCTTGGCAGTGGATTTGGTTTGGGGCCCACACGTTAAATGGTTTCATGTTGTTGGCTTAGTGGGCAACAAGCCTTGCGGAAATAACTTAACTCAAAGCAAGCAAACAAACGCACTGCCATCGAGTCGTTGCCGTCCACTCACATCCACCCTGTGTAGGGTCTCCAGCCTGTCAATTTCGATGGGAACAGATAGCTGCTTCTTCCTGCTGCAAAGTCCCTCAAGGGCTTGAACCGCCAACCTTGTGATTAGCAGTCCCACATAAAGAACTTGTGGTAGTTACATGGTCTGGTGTCACTTTGGGACTTGAGAGGATTAAGAATGGAAGGGGTGGAGTCTGGTCAATAATCGGGTTATAGCCAATGAGGCCTCTGTGTGGGCATGGCCTTCCCCTGAGGATTCTGGGAATTCCTATATTTCCTCCTTGGAGGCGGGAGAAACTCTCTCTCTCTGCTCACTCTCTTGGAGACGCTCCACTGACAAGACACATGGCACTACGCTGATAGACTCCATGCCCCTGCCAGCGCTGAGATGCTCACACCACCACTGGGTTCAAAGACGTTCTACCCACTGGCCTGTGATCGTCCTGCATTTGGCGGTGTTGCATGTGTTTCATGGAGAGGATTTAATAGATTGGTTTGTGACACATGGGCTAATATCAGACTTGTGGCCTTGGAGTGAACTGGGTTGGGATGCTTTCTTAATGTACAATTACACTTTATATAAAACTCTCTCTTATACACATATGTGTGTTTATGAATTTGTTTCTCTAGTCTACCCAGACTAACACAGAACTCAAATGGCATCTGAAGTTATGTCAAGACTCGACATGGCCTTAGAATGCCCATTGTGGACTGCAGCCTTCCGTAAACCAAGTGCTTTTGAATTGAAGCTCTTATACACTCCCTGTGCACCCCCCCTCCCAACACTAAGCATCCTTTGGGTTTTGTCCCCACAGATGATGAAGATCAGACAGTAATGTTTGTCCCAGAAGACACTTAGTCAGAACTGTAGCCACGTGGAGAAGGAATTAGCTGGAGCAGATAACAGAGGTGGGACGTTGAAGAAGCTCTTAAAGTGAAGCCAGGAGAGGCGATGATGTCATAGGGTCCCCATAAGTTGGCAGGCACCCAATGGCAGTGAGTGAGAGGCATCTTGGAAGAAAAGCCTGGAGATCCACCTTTTTAAAAATCGGTCATTGAAAACCTTAGGAAAACCTCACGAGCAGCCTTGTCCCCATAATTTGGAAGACAGGCAGCTCATAGAGCAGTGGATTTTGAATCACTGGAGGCTCATTAACTTCTCCCCTGGGCTCATCCGACATGAACGGCCACCAGCCCAAACAGAGAGCAGGTGTGGGAAATAGCCATCCAACTGGGACCCACAATTCCCCTTTCTCGGCCAACTCCAAAACCCTATACATTCTCCTGGTCAAGCCAGCATCCTTCATTACTATGATACATTTGAAGGCTTCTTTAACAAGGTCCACTACTGTAGCTCCTTGTTGCATGAAGGGGGACAAGGCTGCCATTCTGTCCCTGTATGACTTCCTTCATTTTCCCTCCAGTGACTGGGCAGGTCCAAGAGTCTCTTGAAAGCCCTTAGAGGCTGGTGCCAGAGCAGAGGGAATGCAAATTTTAGTTAGCAGCAGAGAACTAGGTAAAGCTACCTCATTTCCCGGCACCAGGCTGATCTAGATTGGAATTCTCAGCCCTTCTCAGAATAGACTTTTCAGGGGGATTCGGGGTGGAAGGGAAGAGGAATACGAATACCATTGGTTGAAGGATGCTTATAGAATTCATAGCCTCTCACCTCTCCGGACGCTAGGATACCCTCCCAGCACCCTCTCATCCTAGTCCCTGACTTCCCATGGTTCCCCTGCCTGTTCATAAATTAGGCTGATCTCTCCCAGCATGGCAGGGAGACTCATGGGAGAAACTGCTAAGAGGGTATCCATGTTCTGAAACAACTTTCAGATTTTTCATGCCCACATATTTGAGTCGCAGATAAAGGAAGTGATTATGCGTCCCCTTCCTCTAATAACAGGGTGAAAACTATGGAGCTTCAAAACGTTTGTGGAAAAATTAAAAATGTCCAGGCTTTTGAATTCCCCTCATAGCTGGCTTGTAGAGAAGCCAAAGGAATTCTCTTTAGCTGCACTGCTTAGCACAGTGCCAGGCACGTACCAGATGCTCACAAAGATAGGCTGAGTGAATGAGTGATCTAGGGAAACGTTAATAGTGGGGTAAAGATAGGGGGAAAGGATTTGGAGCTAGAAAAATAGGTGCAAACTCTGGTCCTGCTGCTTGCCTTGTGCCCGGGGGACCGTTAGTTGACGCCGCTCAGACTCAGCACAGTCGTACGAGGACAGTTGTGAGGATGGTGCAGGACTAGGCAATGCTTCCTTCTGTTGTGCACAGGGTAGGAGCCGACTTTGATGGCCCCCAACAACAACAGTGAGAGGAGTACTTGTGGCATAGTGAGCTGCTAACCACAGGGTCAACAGTTCGAAGCTACCAGCTGCTCCTCAGAAGAAAGTGAGGCTCTCTACTCCCATAAAGAGTTACAGACATATTTTCCCTTCCAGTCTCTGGCACTCCGGGAGCAACATGGCCAAGTCCAAGACCCACACCACGCCCAACCAATCCCAGAAATGGCACAGAAACGGCCTCAAGGAACCCCAATCACATCCATATGAACCTCTTAAGGGGGCGGACCCCAAGTTCCTGAGGAACGTGTGCTTGGTGAAGAAGCACAAGAAGAAGGACCTGAAGACACTGCAGGCCCACAATGCCAAGGCCACGGACGCTCACGCCGAGGCGCTTATGAAGCCCACGGAGGTCAAGGCTAAGATCCCAATGGCTGTCAACCATAAGCCCGGTCAACTAGCCTACATTGCCCATGCCAAGCTAGGCAAGCAGTCTGAGGCTCTGCCAGCCTCCGGCTCAAGCTCCCAGAGGTGTCCAGGCTCCCACAAAGTAGAGTTCGCCATCTGAGGGCGAGAGGGACGGGTGTGAGTCCTGGACTGCCTTCTGCATGGTGCTGCCACCCTCCTGTGCCATTTGTACAAGTAACCCCAGGCGGTGCTGCTGTCGGTCTGTTTGTGTCGGAGGCGAAAAAAGAGTTAGTCTTGGGAACCCACAGGGGCAGTGCTACCCTGTCGCATAGTATGGCCACGAGTCAGAATGGACTTGAAGGCAGTGAGCCTGGGGTTTGGCCTTGGGGTACGTGCACAGCCCCATGCTGCAGTGCCGCCGTGAGAATGAAGATAGATGTGAGCTAGCTGTGCGCCTCGCACAGCCCTGGTGTGAGGCAGATACTCATGAGCAGTTACCTTCATGGTTGTTTTTACCGCCCGGAACCACTCAGACCCAGAGGACTCAGTAACACAGCAGGAGGGCAGCGGCTGAAGGACGCACAGGGCAAGAGAGCAGGCCCAGGTCTACCATGGGGGTCTAGGATACTGGATTCCCATCGCCGGTGCCCTGGGAAGAGTGGAGTGCCGAAGAATGAAATAAGCAAACGTGTCACACTATCTTCCAGGAGATGCGGGGGCCCACAGCCCACCATGTGCACAAGGCCACCTCTCTCTCTCTCTCTCTCTCTCTCTCTCTCTCTCTCTCTCTCTCTCACGCGCGCGCTCTCTCTCTCTTTTATCTTCTCTTTCTCACCAACTGTATACAAAGATAATATTGTAAGGCCACAGTGCCACCCAACAGACACTTACCAACCAGCACAGCTCCTCAAAAGGGAAATGGGTGCTCCGAGGTGCCAGGACACACTTCTCTTCCCTAGTTACCAGACTTTTACACCTGGAAGGCAGAGAATGTGTGTGCCTTCACTAGGGGGCTTCCAAAGTTCATGGAAACATCAAATGAAAAGACAGTGGACTTTCCTATGGAAATTCTTATGAATTCCGTGTGTGTGTGTGTGTGTGTGTAAATGTATGTATATGGAGTGCTGGTGATACAATGGGTTACAGGTTGGGCTGCAAACCACAAGTTCAGCATTTCAAAACCACCAATCACTCTCCGGGACAAAGACGCGGTCATCTGTTCCCAAAATGATTTATCATCTTGGAAACCCGAGGGAGCAGTCATACTGTCCTATCGGGTCACTAGGAGTCGGGATCAGCTCAGTGGCAGGGCACGCTTGTTTCTGATTTTGGGTTGCATGGGAGGGCAGGTGGCACAGCAGCTGACGTGCTCAGTTGCTAATTCAAAGGTCAGTACGTCAAACCAAGCAGCCACTCTGTGGGAGAGAGATGTGGGTTTCTGTGGAGACTGCAGCCTTGGGAACTCTGGGGGGTAATTCCACTCTGTCCCATGAGTGAGAAGTGACTCTGTGACCATGGGGGGTGGGCATTGCAAACAGGTAACACACCTGACTGCTACCCAAAAGCAGTGTGCTACCCAGTTTGAGTCCACTCAGAGGGATCCCAAAGCCATGCTGTGTTCCTCCCCAAAGCCAGCCACTGAAAAACCCATGAAGCACAGCTCAGCGCTGACCCGCTGGGGCCACCAGGAGTCAGAGCCAACTGGATAACTTTTTAAAATCTCATTTCATATACCAACACACACACACACACACACACACACACACACACACACTCCATTGCCACTGAGTCGATTCTGACCCATAATAGCCCTATCTAAGATTTCTGTGTCTATAAACCTGTATGGGAACAGACAGCCTCACCTCTCTCTCACAGAGTGACTGGTTGGGCTTGACCCACCAACCTCAGGCGAAAGAGAAGGCCATCGGCTCCCGTAAAGATGTCCAGCTTTGGTTGGAATCGACTGGGAGGCAGTGGGTTGGGTGTTGCTTGGGTTACAGGTGAGGCGAGGTGATTCAGCCGCACTGCTGGGCCCCTCGACTTTCCGATGGAGAGTCTGGGGTCTCCAGCCCTCCAGTCCATTCTGACTGGTAGCAACCTGTGGGTTTCCAAGACTGCATCTCCGTCAGGGTACAAAGCCTCACCTTCTCCTGCGGAATAGCTGGCAGCGTCATACTGCTGACTTGCCCTTAGAAGCTCAACACAGAACCCATTAGGCCCAAGCTCCTTGGGTTTGGGTGGGGCCTGAGAATTTCCATTTGAGTAAGTTTCTAAAAGATGGCGCTGCTCCTTGGGGTCCACCGCACCCCCACCTACCACGTGCTTGGAATTCTACTCACTGGGACTCTCTGGGACACAACGGAACTGCTCCCTGGGCTTTCTGAGACTGTCGCTCTTTGTGGGAGCACAGAGCCTCCTTTTCATCCTGAGAAGGGGCTGGCGGGTGCAATTGTCAACTCTGCGCTTAACATGCCGTGCCGCCAGGACACTTTGCCTTGGGTCAGGTGTTAAGGAAGGCCAGGGATTGACCCCAAACCTGTTGCTCTCGCCCCTCCACCCCAGCTGTTTGGTTAGATCCACATCCATGCCCTGTCATCCCTCCCCAGGGGAGCTATACAGGTGGGCTGGGGTCACCTGGGAATCCCCACGACCCCTGGGAAATGGGAGAGAGCAAACGCTGACAGCAGGGCCTGCCCGGGATGCCCTGGAGAAAGGGGCTGAGGACGGGGCCTCACTGGTCAGCCTACCTCTTGCGTCCCTCGAGCCTGTTTTACAGGGTGTTTTATGAGGGTGTTTTCAGCGCGGTGTGGGGAGGGGGGAGGCGCACAGCCCACCAGAGTAAACAGCAGCCTGAGCGGGCAAGAGCAGCACAGCTGGTGGGGCTCCCACCGCAGGGCAGCTTCAATGGCTACCGTATTTAATTGTTAACCAGGCGACTCCATTGGTTGCGGGAATGGAGGAAGAGGGAGGCTGGGAGCAGTTGTGTTTCTTTCCATATTCGGCTCCTTGGGGACTCTCTACAGAGCAGCCCCTCTGAGCGCTGGAGTTTATGTCAGCCCTGTGCTTGATGGGATCGAAGGTTGTGCCTCCCGGTTAGTAGGACCCAGGAGGGTGGGGAACCCAGCTGCTGCTGCGCGGAGCTCTCTGTGCCTGCAGGCAGGGAGTGACTTTGACCTTTGTGGATCCTGAAATAGACACCGGAGCTGGCGCGTGGCACCATAAACCTTTTTGGCAGTCACACACTCATAGCGGAGCACCTCCAAACAGACTGCCTGGGGGCCAGCGAGGAAGCCTGATGTCTTCCCAGGGTGCTGGCAGCCTGAAACCCCAAGGTGCTTATGTCTCCTGGAGGCTTATTGCCCAAAGGGGAAAGCAGCCTTCCTTTGCCAGAGATCCGGGCCTCGTCTGGACTCCCATCCATCTTTGCCTGTTCTTGTCCTCCTGTGAGCCCCCAGGAGGAACTCAGGACAACTCCCAACTGAGAGCAACTGAACCCAACTCAGAGACTGTGGAGCTGAAAACAGCCCCGCCCTTGCTCGTGGAAGCAGCCATCAAGAAATCAAATGGCAAGTTGCATTGGGTAAATCTCTGATGGATTGAAGAGCAAGGATGTTGTTCCTTTGAGGACTAAGGTGCACCTGACCCAAGCCACAGTATTGTCCCTTGCCTCCCATGCACGTGAAAGTTAGACACCGAATAAGGAAGGCTGAAGAATTGTGGGGTCTTTGAACTTCGGGGCTGCCAAAGAAGACTGAAAGTACCACGGACAGTACCACGGACCGCCGGGAGAACAAAGAGACCTGTCTGGAAGACATACCACCAGAATGCGCCTTAGAAGCAAGGATGGCAACCTTTCCTTCCTCTCAGACTTGGGCCACGTGATCATGAGTGTCCAGTCCTTAGGAAAGGGCTTCATGCTTGGTGAAGTAGAAGGTCAGCGAAGAAGAGGAAGACCGTCAAGGCCACGGGTCAGGCTCAAGCAGAGCCAGGGGTGTGAGGATGTCGCCAGGCTGGGCCAAGTTTCCCTCTGTTCTGCTGAAGGCTCACCACCGCGACGACGAACAGAGCCGACGAGCCCTAGCAGCAGCAACCTCAGAGAAGACAGCAATAATGACCGCTGTCACTCATGCTGGGCTTTGTGTGCGGACTGATTGATTTCATCACCTCAGTCAGCAGTGATGGCACTGTGACTGGTCCCACGTAACAGACGAGAAAGCTGAGCCTCGGCCAGAGACTGTGCCAAGTGTGCATGCCAAGATCTGAATATGGTGGTAGGGCTCTGTATTAGTCTGGGTATTTTGGAGAAACAAATCCACAGCAACTCATATATAAGAGAGAGTTTTATGTAAAGAAAAGGTGCATCACGAAAACATCCCAACCCAATGCTGCCCAAGCCCACAAGTCCAACATTAACCCAT